AATGTAGTCGCAGAAAAAATCAATTGCTTCCTTCCGGAGAGCACTCGTAAGTAGCGAAGTAACGAGCATACGCGCCTGTTTTTTCGTGCCTAGTGATTCTTTCAAGTCCACAAATCCAAATGATTTCTACAGAGATTATTTTGCCAATTCTCTCCTTACTGGCCCAATAGTTTTGGTAAACCGATTTACACCGCCTACAGTTTTATTTCCTAACTTACTTTCCTAACTGTCAGACGGCAGCTTCAAATATCCATGTATCGAAAGCCCACATGGACAGAACTGTAGTGCACTTCAGAAGTTTCTGCCCTGTCGGATGCAAACGTGGTCTGTTGCGTGCTCCATTACGCGGGGTTCACCAACTGTGTAGCCCTTCAGTCTTGCCAAATGAACTGGACGGAATGGTCCAGGCTGTGCTGAGAATCGGTTATCCTCTTATATTCATTCGCAAGTACAGTAGTTCGGTTAACTGAGAGCCCATCTTACTAATCGCTAAGAAAAAGAATGTCTGCATCGAACTACCTATCTCCTCTTTTGACACCCTCCGTGGAACGAAATTGCAATTTCGTTGAATCGCTCGTACTAATCTGGATCAAGAAGACGTTGGTATCACCTCCAACTAATTGTACATTTTTCAATACACCTGCAGTCAGAGGTGCATCGCGGAAGGACGAAATGTCGTCTATCAACTAGAACGGGCAAAATTCTCCCGAGCTATTCGGTTTATTTGTGAAACTTCGGTCACGGAGTCACCATCCCAAAAGTGTTCCGAGTCATTAAGACAAATGCTGTACCATTCACCAGGACAGGCCGAGTGCATGCTAACTGATGTCCCTTCCATACTTGTACTACTACTACTACTGTTGTAATTCCAAAAGGCGGTGCTGGTCGATGATATTCGTTTATTGAGGATTTCAGATGGGATATCACCAATTTGCCATACATAACACCAAACATCTCATTAGAAGCATACCATCACCGTTCCTGGCGGCACATCGAAAAATGCATAGGGCAGTCAGTAGTTATTCCTTCAAACACATCACATGGCCCTCGGTGGTCTTGTGATATTTTTGATTACTGAAACTTACCTACTACTCACAAGTGAGTAATATCTTACAACACTCCTTCCCCGGTGAAAACGAACTCTGCATGCAGCGGGCAATGAGCTCTTTCTTTTGAGATGTCGAACGGGTCCGTTGTTGGTTGACAGTTTCTTGTTACTTCATGATTGATTTCTGGACCCGACCAGTAGGTTGATTTCTGACGACTTTTGGCTTACGGCTCTAGTCCCAGCATCATCCATCGTGTTCACTATGATATGCATACCTCTCGCCAGTTATCTCCGAAAATATATTCACTAGAGTCTTCCGCATCCGTAATCTACCTGAACTTCGCCATTAGAACTTTGAATTTGCTTTGCTGGCAGCTTGCGGCTCACGTTCGTCAACTGTCTTCACTGCTGTATTCGAAACTTGTACTAACTCAGTTGACTGAGGTTCTGCCATAAACACAGCGGCGCATGCGTCAAACAAACACTGCACTTTCTGTCCCCCCATCTCCGTATGGGTCTGGACTGAACAATGATCATTCGTTCCATGGGGAGCCTTCTCTGGGGAAACCGATCTGAACGCAATCAAGGGTTCTATCGGGGACCATTTGCGTTGTGTTTCGGGGCAATTTTTCTGCCAACACTCTGAATCTTCGAGCTCAAAATCTCCATTCTTGAGGGCTCTCTGGTTGGAATCGGTTCGGATCGCTGCCTCCTCTGTTAGTTTCGTGAAAGTTGCCGTACTTACAAAAAGCTGGCTACCAGGACTTTCGGTTGACTGGGCAGGAGTAAATTTCTTCCAGGTGAATTCCCTCAGGACATCCACCAGTTTGAAAGCATCCATGGTTTATGCAGCATTAATTATCCATCTCTTCTCCCACTATTCCTCTGGCACGCTCTCCATGAAGCAATCGAGCAGTAAGTTAGAAAGCGCGACATCATCCAACATTGGAAGCCCTCGACTCAACAGGGTGTGCAGGGCCGCGGCATGCGACAAGGGGTTCACGTGGACTCCGAGCTGCACCGTCCTGAAGCTCCGCAACGCGCGCTGTCGGTCGGCCGGGGTGTCAAAACCCACGATCAGGGCGTCCTTCGCGGCGGCCCACTTCATCTTTTCCGGGCCTCTTCGCACCGCATGCAACACCCGCGCTCGGAGGGCCTTTAACTTACGAGCCGGCTCCGCGACTTCCTCGAAATCCTGCAAGAACGTCTGCATGTCTCCATCCTCGAAGGCATCAGGCCACGGCACCTTCATACTGATCCTGGCGACGGCACCAGTCGTTGTAATTCCAAAAGGCGGTGCTGGCCGAGGATATTCGTTTACTGAAGATCACAGATGGGACAACCGCAATTTGGCATACATGACACAGAAAATCTCATCAGATTGCAGTTCCTTGCTCCACGACGGGTAATGAATGTAGCAATCAATAGTTATTCTCTGAGATACAGTAATTTACCTTCGGTGGTCTTCTTAAACTTTGATAGTCGAAGTAATCACCAACTATGTTACCTACTACTCACAAGTGGGTGGTATCTCACAGCACTACTACTACTACTACTACTTTAACTACGATTACCACAACTACTAATACTGTTGTTAGGTAGTACTCACATTTGTGAGTAGTATGAAAAGGTTTGCGATGGGCTGTTTCTTTCAACTGTCAAAAATGAACAAGACCTGTTTGCTGTTGTTCATCATGGTAACTACAAGAATCCGCCTCTACTGATGGACCGTTCCAATAAGTATCCTGTGTACGTGTGGAAATTCGGAATGCTACTTCTAAACGAGACATTTTCTTTGATGAATGCCAATTTACCGATACCCCGACAGCTATTCATAATAGATAACTGTCCTCGTCCAGATACCTTCTTTTTGTTAATCAACACTACTACAGGGCATCTGCCACTTCTATGCACATGTTTGGATCCCATTTAAACAGATGTAGATGCAATCAGGTTTCCACGCGTTCCAGTGCATGTTTACTTCGTTTCGTCTGCAACACATTATGATCTGCAATCAAATTCTACTCTCCACCGATTCCGTAAAAATTCACATTCGTTCATCTCTGCGTTATTCTCCATTAGAACATGGAGGGTATTGTGCTAGTAATCCCCATTTTATCTCATCCAGGACACCGATTCTGATGAGTACATCAAATTAGAAGCAGGTGAACAAAAGCGATCGTACTGAAAGCTGTAACGCAATGTGGTGTCGGGGAATTAACGGCATTTATGATCGTCCGCGAGTTTGCACAACTATTTGGTGACGGAGTGCTTGGTTCATGAAGATACGGTACATGGCTTTGTTGTTTTCTTTTTTCATTGATTTAAAATGACTATCCTTCAGACTTCATCTTCACGCACAATACTCAATTCATCGATTCCGCTATACACTCGGAAGCACCGGACTCGATTTTCGCCCTTATTAGAGCTCATCAGTGCGGCATATTCACCATTCCACATCACCACTCACAAGTTCGTTGCTGTCGGACCAAACGAACTGACTGACTGTCACTGAAGACGATACTTGAATAGACATGAATTGGCAATTGGGTTCAGCCATGGTATGAGCTGGTTGGTACAGTGGTAACGCGCACACCTTCCATGTGGTTGGTCCGGAGTTCAAATCCATGACGGGACGGTGGATATGCATTACTGAAGAGCTCTGATAAGAGCGAAACTCGAGTCCAGTGCTTCTAAGTGTATGACTGAATCGATAAACCGAGGATTGTGCATGAAGGTGCATTCCAAAGGATAATCAGTTCAAATCAGTAAAAATCAATTGTCCCACACCACTACTCACAAGTAACTGTAAGTTGAATGCATGTTGTTGTGGTTGCTGTTGTTTACCTAAATACGCGACACGGTAGATACAATAATTCTTCGTTCTTGGTCACGATCAACTTTTATTCGTCCAGCGATCTCCAACATTCGGAAAGTTTAACTAATGTGTTTCATATTTCTACGAAAATCCATCAATAGAACTGATTAACAGCTCACAATCTACAACAGTGAACTGTTTCCACAATGGTCATCTAAATCAGAGGTTGAATCCAGAACGTCAATCGATTCCGATAACAGTTTATGCTTCATCATCTTGTCAACCTCTCGACTAGGATCATACGATTACACTCATAACGAAAAAATTCTGTATCTGTATCTGAAAGCTCAGTACCTTTGAAACTTGAATCCTAATTGAATTGTGTGACACGGCAGAATTCCAGACGTTGCACGTTGCACTCTTCCATGCTGGTCACAACCGAACATCTCGTATCAAGTTCCTCAATTTATGGACACCTACTGAACTCGCACACACTTATGTCCGCTTCCCCGGGTTCTCTAAATCATTCAGTTTTCGCGGTACTTTGATCAGAAGTAGGGAGCGAGGGAGAGAGAAACATCAATCATGTGATTTCAGCACATGTTTAATACTTAAAACTGAACTATTTGATTTAAATAATTTAAGAAAATCGATTAGAATTTTACAGCGCAACCGAATAACACTCAGTATGCCAACAGGACGTTGTAGCAAGTGTGTCTTACTGAGAATCAAGCATCTCTTTCCCAAAGGTGAATCTGGACATAGTTCGGATCCCGTGATCCCCGATTAGTCTTAAATAAAATCTTAAATAAAAATGAAATGTAGCCACAAATATGACGTTTACGTGAGACGAAGGTGATTTTATTTGGAAATATTACTTTGGATAGGAGGCGAATCATTATCCTGAATCCAAATCACGATGGAGAAAAATAACTTTCTCTATTAACTTGACACTAATTAAGTGAACAAATAGTCAGTGACCACAATGTGAGTGAATATAAACTACGGGGACAAATACATAAAATGACATTATTACAGAATACCCAGCAATTTAATTGACAAATTGAGTGAAGGAAATATACACGATGACTTATCCTCATCTCGAATAAGGACAGTTTATCATGACGAAATCAATAGGGTGATATATTTGACTATATTTGTATGTGGAAGATACTCACTAAAACACCGAAATTGTGCATGATCTATAGAAGTTAAGAATATCCAATATCTGTGACGGATAACGGATCATATTTTATCGATCGGTTTGATTTCCAAGTTGCAATTTGAGTGCTGCGTAAATAATTAGTATATCTTGCACTTATATGAGAAATCCATTGATGGTAGTCAATTCATGTTTTGTGGACTGCAAACACTGGGTGAGGTCCTCCTTGAACTTGAACTTTTTTGACATATTTGGACTGTCAATCGTTCGGTTAGGCTCAAAGTAAACCAGACTGTACTAGGCTGTCCGAAGACCATTGCTTTTTTATTCTCAATGAAGGAAGATATCAAAATGTGAATATATTCTCAACGTTTCTATATAACTTTAGATGAGAGTCCCTGTATCAAAGTCAGTGTAAGTAGTATAAGGATGGTGGAACAATACTGTTATTCTTTAGTCCTTTATACCACGCTTGTTTATAATAATGATCATTTTACTTCCACCTATTAGATATAAAAAGAAAAGAAAACCAACATTTGGAAAGAGGAAAGGCTGGTACACAAAACTGGGAATGTAAGGTGATAGCGGTAGGGTTTGAACAGACGAACTACAAAGCGATGGGCGGACTAGGTAAAACGCTTAATCTCCACCTACCAAGCCGGTGTGTATGCGTATACACTGTTTACCAGAGAATCGATTAACTGATCTGACGTTCGAAATCCACTTAAGCTAAAATCGAATCCGTCTTTCCTCGACATGATTTCATCCAGTATTACTTGACTGATTGTCAAAGTTAGGACCGCATAGATTAGGCTGTCGCAGGTCAATCCAGAGAACCTTAGTGAAAAGATTTTCATTGTGACATCCAATTGACCCATCGGATTTGCAGACATCTGTAATTCACTATCGAGACTTTAAGATGTCCGGTCGTATGATATGAGCCTTTGGTTGCATCAATGTGTATAAACATAAATGATCAATGATCATTACATCCCTTTTTACATACTACATACATTATACGCACGGTACATGATGTAAAATGTAAACTATCTGAATTGTCTACCGGTTCCTTGTAACATTCTGAGAAGCAGTCAGTAACCATACAAAAAGTAGTATTCGGGTTTCCCCAAAATTATACTATGTGAGTCGCTGATTGCAATTTCCCAATTCGTGATTTGTTTATCAGCTCTGTTATTTTTTTAAGACTCACGCTTCTCCTCTGATTCGAGATAGTTTACTATGTTTTGTTTAGGCATGCATATTAGGGTATCCTCCGTACATCATTCGGTGAATTTATACACTCCTAATAAAACAGATGTACACAGCCTCCAATTGGTGTTGTTGGTGATGTGAGATGAAGTTCACACTTGGACTCGTAATAACCATCAGTGATTAAAATTGTCCTAACGGTGGACCTACACTGCTGATGAGCTCCCATTAGAGCGAAACTCGTAAATAGTGCTTCCCGAATATACGGTGGACTGCAAGAACGGAGGAATTTTGTGTGAAGGTGAAATCTGAAGGATGGTCAAACCAAATCAGTACATTACCTTTGACTGAAAGCCTGTGTATAACTTGCTAGAGCTTCAAGACAAATATATATATACAGCCACGAATGTACTCCTAAACGCTTGGGATAGATTTATTCTTAACCAAAGCTTAGTTTCGTTCTACTGAAAAGTATTGTACAAAGAGAATCCATAGAGCGTGTTGGTTCATCTGCGAAAACATCAACTTATCCTCCCTATTGTGGTTTGTGAACACGTCATCAAAGTTTACCTCACTTATTTCGGCAGAGAATCGTTATATATGTCTCGACGAGGTTGATACATACTGTGTGTACTCAAGATGAGAATCGGTCTGATCAGCTGCCCGGTGGCCGAGTCGGAAGTACTATTGCGTTTTACTTGTAAGTCCCCGGGTTCAAACCCATTTGGTTCGATGAATTTGCACTGGTGATGGGACCCGACCAGGTAGAAACAGCTGTCCAGTGCTTCCCAGCTTTTCAGCTCATGCCTCATTTACACAACGTATTCATCATATTAACACTTATCTATCTTATCGGAAAACAATGCGGATTGGATTGGACTGGTCATCTAGATAGGCTCTTGAGAGAAATGGTATCAGATCAACATGGTCGATTTCAATCCGATATCGTGCACATTCTCTGTTGCTCTGCTTCGTTTTACTTCCAGTCACGTCTCTACCACAAAATATAGCTTGGAACTGCTTTCCCCCGGGAGGGTATGTCACATTCGCACCACTCACGGTT